CGATATGGTTTGAAACAAAGAGAGGTGCAACCCGAGGACATCCCGGGAGCTCACCCATCCTAGTATTACTCTCACCCAAACACGTTTCATTACGAATTTCTGATGGGATCCGGGTCATTAGCGCTGGTATGTTTGCACCATTATTACATGACTCGTGATTCCATATATATCTCTCGTCGAAAAATTCGATTTAATTTTCCGTGAACAAACATGATTTGTTGTCATTTTACCTGCATAAATTTGTATGGAAATAGATGTAGAAGCCGATAAAAACACGTAGAAAACCCAGTTTACAACTCTTTTACGGCCCGAATTGTTCAACAGCTGTTTTGAGGCCCGAAATAGCTGAATTTGGGTTTGAAAATTTTCATGGTTTATCACTGCCATAGATTGTATTGGGGGCTTTCCGAAATGGTGCTATGGACGACGTAGTTCCTCACGATTCAAACTTTATGGGTTTTTGAATATTGAACACCATATGGTTTGAAAATAAAATAAAAAAGAGGTGCAACCCGAGGACTTTTCGGGAGGACACCCATCCTAGTACTACTCTCACCCAAGCACGTTTCATTTCGGAGTTCTGAAGGGATCCGGTGCATTATTGTTGGTATGAAAAAATTCGATTTAATTTTCTGGGGACCAACATAGTTTGTTGCCATTTTACCTGCCGAAATTTGTATAGAAATCGATATAGAAGCCGATATAAAAATGTGGAAAACCCAGATTGCAACTCTTTTACCGCCTGAATTGTTGGTCAGCCATTTTTGGCCCAAAAATGGCTGACCCAAAATGGCGGATTCTAATCTATTAAAATAGAGACATTCTTTTTATCTACTGATACAAGTTTTCATTTAAATTTGGACCATTTCTAGAGTGTTACAAATAATATAAGTCTTAGAATTGATAGAACCGTATTATTTAAATTAAACCAACACAATTAATGTAACATGGCGACCTTAACGTAAACTATCTTTAAGATACGGCAGATATCTATGTGTATACCAAAAACACAAATTTTCTCCTACAGATATGGAATGTTCTAAAAAAAATATATTATCAAAATATGGAATATGGAAATCTAATAATTATATTAAATTAAAATATGGAATTTGGAAACCTACTAATTATATTAATGTGGAAATCGTAATATACCATTTAGCATCTTAACAATTCCTTTAAAAAAATGAAAATTTAATAATTATATGAAAGCAATGGAAATCTACTCTATTAAAACAGAGTCTTTCTTTTTATCTACTAATACAAATTGTCATTTAAATTTGGACTTTTTCTAGAGTGTTACAACAAGCCATATAGTTAACTGAACCGCACTATTTAAATTAAACCGATGGTTATTTATGAGATATAGTCTTGGGCTTACTTTTCTTTTTAGAACAAATTATATGGTTTGATTTTTTGGCTTACTATTAAGGAAAAACTACAAAAAACATTGAATAAAAATTCTATCTTAATGGATCAAAAAATCAATTATTATTTTCAGGCCCAAATGTATATAATATTTTTAAGAAAACAAAATTGTCTATTATTAATCATTTATTTAAATTATGTACTTTAAAACACGTTATTGTATTTTTTATTTTAAATAACAATCACTTCTTTTTGATAAATTTCAATGGTAACTTTTAAATAATTTATTATTTTATTTTTCTTAAATAATTTACTGATTTAAAAAAAAAATGTAAAGCAAAACCAAAAACCAAATATAAAAACTAAAATCTAAAAGCAAAAGCTGAAAACGCATTGTTATAGATAACATAGTGTTATAGTTTTTGCTTTTTTTTATTTACAAAATAGACTATTGCAAAATTTTTTGTCATATTTTCAGTTTTAAATTAGATGTTCGATTGTTTGAGATTTGTTTGTTGGTAGTATAAGTTCAAACTAACTCAGAGGATCTAAAAACTAAAAACCCAAACAAAATCTGAAAATCAAAAATAGAAACTTAAAAACTAAAAACCAAAATCTAAAAAGAAAAACTGAAACTAAAAATAAGGAAAAAAATGGTCACCACAAATTTTGGTAAACTGATTTTATACCAAAACATCTACTCTATTAAAATAGAGACATTCTTTTTATCTACTGATACAATTTGTCATTTAGATTTGGAACCTTTCTAGAATGTTACAAATAATATAAGTCATATAATTGATTAAATCGTATTAATTAAATTAAACCAACATAATTAATGTAAAGAGACGACCTTAATGTAAAATACCTTCAAAATACGACAGGTATCTATGTGTATACCGAAAACATATATTTTCTCCTACAAATATGGAATGTTCTAAAAGAATATATATCATCAAAATATTGAATATGGAAATCTACTAATTATACTTAAATTAAACCAATGGTTATTTATTGAATATAGTCTTGGGCTTACTTTTGTTTTTTGAACAAATTATATAGTTTGGTTTTTGGGCTTCGTATTAAGAAAAAAACATTGAATAAACTTTTCACCTTAAAAGATCAAAAAATCAATTATTATTTTCAGACCCAAAAGATATTTAATATTTTTAACAAAACAAAATTATCTATTATTAATCATTTATTTAAATCATGTACTTTAAAACATGTTAATATAATTTTTTATTTATTTTAAATAACAATCACTTTTTCTTTGATAAATTTCAATGGTAACTTTTAAATAATTTATTGTTTTATTTTTCTTAAATAATTTATTGATTAAAAAAATGTAAAGCAAAACCAAAAACCAAATCTAAAAACTAAAATCCAAAACCAAAAGTTGAAAACACATGTTATATTTTTTGCTTTGTTTATTTACAAAATAAACTATTTCAAATTTTTTTTTAAAAAAATTGTTATCATCTTTTCAGTTTTAAATTAGATGTTCGATTATTTGAGATTTGTTTGTTGGTAATATTAGTTCAAACTAACTCAGCGGGTTTAAAAATTAAAAACTCAAACCAAAAACTGAAAATGAAAAGTATAAACTTAAAAACTAAAAACCAAAAACCAAAATCTAAAAATAAAAACTGAAACTAAAAACTAATGAAAAACAATCATACTACAAATTTTGGTGAAGTGATTTTATATTAAAATATTCTTTAAATTAAGACAAAACCTAATTATATAAATTTTTAACCATAAAATGTTTTTGCTCTTTTTAAGCGCGGATCAAAATCTAGTTCTTTAAATTAAGACATAACCCAGTTATATAAATTTTAGTTCTAAAATATTTCCTCCCTTTCAAATGCTGGCCAAAATTTAGTTTGTGTTTAAAAAATTGTCATGCTAATCGATAAACGCTTCCTAATTTGTTCTTCCCCACAATTCAGTTAAGGAAACAAAAGCTTCGATCTACTCTTCGATTCCTATTACAGTGAAACCTCTATAAATTAATAATGTTGGGACTGCACTAAAACTAAAAATTTTATTAATTTATAGAGATTATTAATTTATCGAGATATTAATTGAACCAAAAATTCAATTTGGGACTATGAAAATATATTAATTTATAGAGATATTAATTTATAGATTATTAATTTAAAGAGGTTATAATGTACTTTAGTATTCCGATTTCATCGATTTCTCCATTTTCTAGGGTTTGGTTTTCACCTAGCTGGATCTCGAATATTGTAATCATGCCGGTGACTTTGACTCCGAACGCCATCGCGTCGATTAACGCAGGCGACGTCAATCTGAAGCCGCTGTTACAGGTTTTAGATATCAGATTGATAGGGAAAACTCAGGAGAGAGGCCAGGAGAGGTACCGTTTGCTAATCTCAGATGGTGTCTCTGCTCAACACGCTATGCTCGCTGCTCAGCTCAATGATCGGGTCAAGTCAGGAAAGATTGAGAAGGGATCCATTGTTCAGCTCATCGATTACATTTGTAGCGACGTTAAAGGCCGCAGGTTATTTTTCCTTACTTCTGATTGAATTCTCCAATGATTTTTGGATCTTTGGTTTACGAAATGCGACTTTGGCAGGTTGTTTTTGTACTGAACATTCCATGGTTTAGTTGAATGTATCAGGAAGAGCAATGGTAGCTTTGTTTGAAGATTGTTGTCTTTGGTGTTGTTCAATGGTTGGCAGATGTTTTTCAAAACTTCTAGGAGGCTATTTAGTTACACAATTTTGTTTTTTTTGAGTGAGCATGACATATTTGAAGGATTTTTTTTGTTTTTCTTTCTCTTTGATAGTTGTGATAATCTTATGCATGTTATGTACAGGCTTACTATCGTGCTGAACATGGAGACCATAGTACCGCAGTCTGAAACCATTGGGAACCCCGCACTGTCTGCCGAATCAGATTCAGAACTCCAAAAGCCACGTCCAGGTCCAAGCAACATACATCCTTCGAGTAGGGTTGGTTTCAGTGAGCAGCGTTCAACTAATAAAGCAACTCCCAGAGGTGTAAACATCACTCCAGGTTTCAGGCCATCTGTTCAGCCTCCATATCAACCACCTCCAAGCTACAGAAATCATGGACCCATAATGAAGAACGATGCTCCTGCTCGAATCATCCCTATTGCTGCTCTCAATCCATATCAAGGTCGGTGGGCTATTAAGGCTAGAGTTACTGCAAAAGGAGATATCAGACGTTATAACAACGCAAAAGGAGACGGGAAAGTATTCTCTTTTGATCTGCTAGACTCTGATGGAGGGGAGATTCGTATCACTTGCTTTAATGCTGTTGTCGACCGATTCTATGATGTTATTGAGGTTGGTAAGGTATATTTGATTTCCAAGGGAAGTTTGAAGCCTGCACAGAAAAACTTCAACCACTTAAAGAATGAATGGGAAATTTTCTTGGAGGCAGCATCGACTGTAGAGCTTTGTCCCGATGAAGATGGCTCCATACCAAGGCAGCAGTTCTCCTTTTGTCCTATAGGTGACATTGAGAACGCTGGAAACAATGTCATACTCGATATCATTGGGGTTGTGACTTCTGTGAACCCTTCTGTCCCAATCTTGAGGAAGAACGGGATGGAAACCCATCGGAGAACCCTCAGTCTGAAGGATGATTCAGGAAAGGCCGTTGAGGTTACTCTATGGGGAGAGTTTTGTAACCGAGATGGTCGGGATCTTGAAGAGATGGTTGGTTCAGCCTTTTACCCCGTTTTAGCACTAAAAGCTGGAAAAGTAAGCGACTTCAGTGGTAAATCAATTGGGACAATATCGGCAACACAGCTCTTCATAAATCCAGAGTTTCCTGAAGCTCAGAAACTGAGAAACTGGTTCGATCACGGTGGAAAATATACTGCATCCTTGTCCATTTCCAGAGACAATATGCCTGGAGGAGGTTCGAGGAATGAGATACGAAAAGTTGTTTCTCAGATCAAAGAGCAAGGTCTTGGAAGATCAGACAAGCCTGACTGGGTCACAGTGAAAGCAACCATAGCATTCATCAAAACTGATAGCTTCTGCTACACAGCTTGTCCTTTGACGATTGGAGATAAGCAATGCAACAAGAAGGTGACACGGACTGGAACAAACATGTGGCTCTGTGACCGGTGCAACCAAGAGTTTGAGGAATGCGACTACAGATACCTTCTTCAAGTGCAGATTCAAGACCACACTGGGATGGTTTGGGTAACGGCGTTTCAAGAATCCGGTGAAGAAATCATGGGATGTCCGGCTAAGCAGCTTTACACGTTGAAGCACGAATTGCAGAATGATGAGGAATTCGCAGTGATTGTTAGAAACAGACTGTTTCATCAGTACATGTTAAAGTTGAAGATCAAAGAGGAAACGTATGCGGAGGAAAACAGACTGAAGATGACTGTGGTGAAGGTTGATAAGGTGAATTACACATCCGAGAGTAAATACTTGCTCAACTTGCTGGTTGGGTCTCTACAGATATAAACAGAGATATCTCAAAGAAACTCAGACTATGTTGGTTATCGATCTTAGTACAAGCTGTATTCGAGCGTTATACTTTTTCGAATCCCATTTGTTTTTGGATTCATTGAGACAAATTCAGGAAAGGAGTTTTTATAGTTTTGAGCATAGTACACACGAAAGTTCCAGTAAAACAATACAAAGCAGGATGCCCAACACATTAAGAACAATGGTGTCCAGAGACAGGAAATATAGCTAGCTAGCTTCTTAGGTTCTCCTGACAGGGTCGAAGTTGGAGACACCCGACGCCACTAGACGCAATGCTGAGCAAGAGATTCTTGAGAGACGGAGAGATTCCTGGACCAGCGGCTTCAGCGATCTCCAGGATGACCATCGAAGCGATGAGAGCGGCCGCAGAGAGTCAAATAAATCTTTCCAAAAAATGTGACAATGCAATTTCCGCACGAATAAAAACTTTTCAGAAACTTTCTTTTAAAAGAACTTAATGAAAGAAACAGTTTTTACAAAATATTTTTTTGTAAAATTAACATCAACAACCTTTCAACATCGACAATCTTACATAAGCTGTTTGCAGTTTCATATTCGGAAATCTGAGATTTTCACCCAAATAGACAAATGTTACGAAGAATTTAGCTTCTGCAAGATTACCAATACCTGCAATAGCATGTCAACTATGCAAGAGAACTTTCCCAAGATGATTCCTCAGCAACCACAATACTCCAACTAAATTAGTATGTTTGTCCCAGGAGTAAGCAAGATTGCATTTGGTCCATAAGGGTAAATGAGGATTCCATTTTCTAAGTAACAAAACAGTAGATGAAACTTGGCAAAGGTCTACTTATGCTTCAATCGTTTGAGCTAGAAACCAAGTATCAACATCTTCTCTAATCCTTTTAAGAGTTTCTAAAGGAAAGAATCTTTTACCTCTAAAGATAAAGCATTTCTGCTTTTCCAAATATGCCAAAGTATCCAAGGAAACATCCTGGCAATATCTGGGGAGACTTACTTGCTTTAAGGAGATGATGAAAATTTGAGAAGAGAGAGCCAGAGGAATAGTCTGCATGTGGTCTGGGAAAAAGCGATAACGCCCAAATTTGACGAGCCACATTACAACAGAACAGGAGATGGTTTATTGATTCCCCTTCCACCCCACAAACTTGGCATCTAGAGTCAACTTTCATACCTTTAGATAGGATCGTGTTAGCCACCGGGAGAGCTTCTGAAAGAACTTTCCAAAGAAAAGTCTTAATCTTAGATGTTTTTAAAGACCAAACTTGAGCTTTAAGATCATTGACTGAAGGTATAGTGCAGAGGCCACCATATATAACTGAGCATTAGTAATCTGATGCTGCAACCAATATCCTGACTTTACAGAATATTCACCATTTTTGTTGTGACCCCAGACCCAAAAGTCATCTTTAGAGATCACTGGTCTTGATTTTAATATTCGATTAATATCTTCAAGGAAAAAAAGATCTTCTAGCTTATCTTTGATCCAGTCTCTCTTTCATAATCAAACAGCTCACTCACTCTGAGATCTATATATCGGATTTTTGATCAATGGTCTTCTCATATGTCCATATCTGATCCAAGAATCAGTCCATACGTGAAGAGATCTTCCATTTCCAACCAATTTAAAGAGACCTTTAGATAAGAGATCCCGGCCGTGCAGAATATACTTCTCCAAGCAAAAGAAGGCCTTGAAGATAGAGAAGCAGATAATAAGTGATCATTAGGAAAATACTTACTTTTCATAAGGCCAGAAAGCAAGCTATCAGGATTTTGCAGAATAAGTGAAGCCTGTTTAGCTAGCAGAGCTTGAACACCTAAATATCTCTAAATCCCCTACCCCATCCTGTTTGGAAAGAGACATTCTATCCCACCTAACCAGGTGAATCTTTCTTTTATCTTCAGAAGAGTTCCACCAGAAATTAGCAATCGCAGAAGCCAAGGAATCACAAGTGGTTTTAGGTAATTTAAAGCAAGACATAGCATGAATGGGCATGGATAATGCTACTGTCTTAATGAGAACATCCTTACCAACCTGTGATACAAGTCTAGCAAACCAACTTGAACATCTATTCTTAACGGAATCATTAATGTATCTAAGCATGTGTACCTTTGAAGCTTTAAAGCATTCGGGAAGACCTAGATAAGATCCCATTCCACCTTTTTCTATTTCCAAAGTCTCTTTAATCACTTCTTTTGTATTTTCTGCTACTCTTGATCAAAAAGAGATAGAGGACTTACTTAGATTGACCAATTGCCCCAAAGCATCACCATACACTCTCAAAATTCTTTTAAGTTCTTCAGCCTAAGATTTATTAGCTTGGCAAATGAAGAAAGAATCATCTGCAACTAAAAGGTGATGAAGAGATGGTCCTGACTCCGAAAACTGAATGCCTGAAATAGTATGCAAAGCCAAAGATTGATTCAACAAATGGAGTAGGGCTTCAGTACGAAGAACAAAAAGAAATGAAGATAAGAGATCTCCTTGTCTTAAGCCTCTATGTGGTACAATAAAACCATGAGGTTTATCGTTGATGATGACAGAATAGGTGACTGAGGTGACGCAAACCATAATCCAACCAATCCATTGTTGATGAAACCCCAATGATTTTAATAACTCTTTGAGAAACTTCCATTCAACCCTGTCAAATACCTTAAACATATCTGACTTGATGGCCATATAATGTGAAGACAATGTAGGCTGAGTAGAGAGACTATGAAGCACCTCATGAGCCATTAAAATATTATCATAGATTAGTCTCTCAAACATGAAGGCTGACTGCGTTGGAGATATGATTAAAGGTGGAACATGCTTTAATCTCCGAGATAAAATCTTTTCTATGATCTTGTAAAGAACAAAGCACAAGCTAATCGGTCTTAGGTCTGCCATAAGAGAGGAGGTAACCTTCTTTGGAATGAGACACAATTGAGTATAGTTCCATTCTAAAGGTAAGGTACCTGTGCAAAAGAAGTGACAGACCTCTGCAGTTACTTGTCCTCCAACCACCTCCCAAAATTGCTGGAAAGACTTGACATTCCGTCAGCACCTGGAGCCTTTGTGGGATTAATTGAGAAGACTGATTCTTTAATATCTGCTGCAGTAACCTCTTTGATCAGTTCCATGTTCATTGCAACAGTCACTCTAAGTTGAAAGTTGTGGCAGATATGATGAAAATTCGAGGGGTTTGAAGATTTGAACAAAGAGAAAAACAAAATCAGCAGCACTGCGCCTTTAGACTCTTCAGATCTTTGTTCTCTACCCGAATCATCAATAAGGTTCTCTATGAAATTTTTAGACCGGTTAGCCTTGACAGAGGCATGAAAGAACTTAGTATTCTTATCACCTGATTTTGCCGATCTTTCTTTGCATCTTTGACTCCAATAAGATTCCTCATCTTTATAAGCTTTCATCAAGTCATATTTAAGATGGCGAAGACGATGGAAGTTAGATAAAGCGGAAGAATGCTCCATCCCTAGCTTTGACTGCAAGTCCAAAGTCCTGCTTTTGGAGTTATTATTGACTGTAGGAGGTGGATTTCCCTATCTTTCAGGGCCCACCGAACAACAAGAGCAGTCTACTCGAGAGCGGCCCAGGTTGGCTCAATAGCCGAGTGTGCCCAAGTTCGACCCAAGTCCAACTGTCCCTGTAACTAAACGACAACAAGTAGCCGAACGGTGCGCACTTCAATGGACCGACCAGAAGGCCCATTGGGGAGAGGCTCCCCTTAAGTGACACTGACCTAGGTCATTGAAGAGGGGAGAGCACACTATAAAGGGAGGAGAGGAGGCAACGAGAAAGGAGATCTGAAATCGAGCACTCACTTAAAAGGCGGTTAGAATTAGGGTTTTGCCTCTTTGTATCTCTCCGACTTGTACTTTCACGGCTGTGCTCTCTGAGCAACACCGTCCCGTCTCGTTTGTTTCCTTATTTGTACATCAAATCTATCATCAATAAACCTACTCTTCCACTCCTAAATAGTAAAACGCCTTTGAAATAACCCACTGACGAGTCATGTCACTCTCTTTACTGATATAAGACCAAACTCGGTTCAAACAGTTGGCGCCCACCGTGGGGTATAACAAAGTAGCGTCAACAAAACATGAGTCCAAGTAACGATTCGACTTCCGGCGAAGAGGGAGACGCGGTAGCACCAACTCCGGCTACTTCCGTACCACTCGCCCCAACTTTCATCGATTCCGTCATGGAACGCTTCGTGCACTAGAACAAAGCTCAGAGAGACCACCGAGCAACTCGCCACCATAGCAACCATCCTCAGCGCCGTTTGCCAAGACGGCCGCTACTAACCAGCCTTTCCGACGATAGTTTTTCAACATTTACCAAACAGCCGACCCTAACGACCAAATTGCCAAAACGCAGGCCCAAGGCGCCGAGGAGCAAACCAACACCTTTGGCGCCCCAGATCCAAGTATTGTCCAAGAAATCGCCACTCTCAAGCAGGCCCTCCTCGACATAAACTCAAAGATCTATGGCGTCACAACCTTCGTCCTGCTCATAGAAAGCGTCTTCGCGGATACTCTCCGAATGCCGTTAACCAGCAAATCACCAGTGTACGCCTCCGAAAGATGGATAAGGTCCGTTTACTGACCTACGACGGCCTTTCAAACCCAACTGTTCTCATCACGTCTTTCAACGTCGCTATGAGGTGACCAATTTCTCTAACGAGGAGAGAGACGCCGGCTTCTCCCAGCTTATTGTCGAGAGCTTTACTGGTGCAGCCGTAACGTGGTTCACCGGTTTACCAGAGAACTATGTTGATAGTTTCCACGATCTGTCGTCAGCCTTCCTCAAGAACTACATAATGTTCACTCGTCAAGAAGCCACCGTTTCAGATCTCTGGAACCTCACTCAGTCACAGGGACAAAGCTTGCGCGACTTCGTGGAAAAGTTTAAAGCCATCGTTTCCAAAGTAAAAGTTCCCGATGACATCGCTGTAGATGCTCTCATGAACACCATGTACGTGCATTCGAAGTTCCGAGATGACATGTACCATCATCTGACTAAGTCCCTCTCTGATGCCATTTCCCGGTCAAACAACTTCATTCGCATGGAGGAAGATACTAAGGCAATCATTAGCAAGCAGAACGCGACGAAGCAAGCGTTGGCTAAGAGTAGCGAAGCTCACCCAGAACCTCGGCAGCACGCACCCAACGATAAAGCCAATCCAAAGAAGAGCTTCGTTTATCTCGTTAACGAAGATAACCTCCCTGGATCCACAGTTGTGGTCCGAGGAAAGGGGTGGAACCATTGGGACCGAGCCGCCGACGACCATAAAACCCCGAGCGCATCCGAAGCGTCAGGATTGAATCCCATGGAACCAGAAAAGTATTGCGCCTATCATAAGAGCAAGAAGCAT